AATTTTATAATAGAAACAAAGAAAAACTTTTTTTCTTTAAATGTTTTGCTCTTTTTTTTGTTTATAGCACAAAAAATAAATCACCCAGTGATAATTAAATACCACCGAACGAAAGCTCTATTTGTGTGAATAAAAAGATAAAAATGTCATATGGGTACAATGTTGCATGACCGCACAATTGTCATTCAAAGTGTGAGAGCGCTGAAAGCTGAAAATTGGCCTTGACAGGAAGGGGGTAAAAGTGCCCGGTAGGCAAATGGTTCATTACACAGGTTCTGAGGATGATTAAGGTGATCATTAAAACTCACTTACCCTGGTTCACATATATGCGGCCGTGTGGGCCGAGTTTTGCACGACCACAAGAGCCCATTCATTTGAATGGACTCCTGGGACACGCAGGGAAGAAGTCCCTGCACTTCTGAAAATGCAGCCCCCGCACGGGAACCTCGGTTCCCAATATGGTTGCGTTTTCCAGTGCGGGCGGCGTGCCATTATAACTAATGGCACCTACCTGCGGGTCCGCATTCCTCTGTGCGGGTGGTGCGGCTGCACGGATTTTCGTGCGGATCCGTAGCAGCACCCCCCGCACATATGAACCAAGCCTTAGTGTCTTATCTGCATTAAATCATCCTCAGAACCTGTGTCACTAATATGTGTTCAGTTTTAAAGGGATGAGGTGGCAACCCTATTTCCAAAGCCAATATAAAGCAATAGTAGCGGTCAAACAAACTATTTGTGGATTTAAAGGATAAGTTCACCTTTCGTAACATGTTACACCCATATTCAAGGTGTAACGTTACAAACAGACCAGCCCCTGCTCATCCTGACAGCTAGTGAGGAATCTGCTCCTCCCGGCTAGCTGTCACAATTTTTTTAACTTGCCTACTGGGAACTTATACCCCCTTCTTTACCAGGCCAATTTTCAGCTTTCAGCGCTGTCGCATTTTGATTGACAATTGCGCGGTCATGCAAGATTTTACCCATATGAAATTTTTATCATTTTTTTCTCACAAATAGAGCTTTCTTTTGGTGGTATTTAATCGCCGCTGGGCACTTTACTTTTTGCGCTATAAACAAATAAAGTGCAAAAAATTTGAAAAACAAAAAAAGTTTCTTTGTTTCTATTATAAAATGTTTCAAACAGGTAATTTTTCTCCTTCACTGATGTGCGTTGATGAGGCGGCACTGATGGGCACTGATAGGCAGCACTAATGAGGTGGCATGGATAGGCGGCACTGATAGGCAGCACTAATGAAGTGTCACGGATAGGCGGCACTGATAGGTGGCACTGGCACTGACTGGCGGCACTGCTGGGCACTGACTGGCGCAACCGCTGGGCACTAACAGTACTGCTGGGCTGCACTGATGGGCCCTGGTGGGTGGCACTGGTGGGCACAGGTAGGTGGCACAGGTGGGCGGAACTGGTGGGTGGCATTGCTGGGCACCGATCATCAGGGCACTGATGATCAGTGCCGATCCCTGCTCTGACATCTGCCAGTTCTCGGCAGTACTTTCCTCACGCTCTGACAGCGTGAGGAAAGTGCAGCTGAGAACCGGCATTTGCATTTCCCAGTGATCAGCGTGTCATTGGACACGGCTGATCACGTGGTAAAAGGCTGCTGTGATTGGCCTTTTACCACATCACGTGGTCATCTGTGTCCGTAGGACACAGCGATCACGGAGATCGCCGAGGGCGTGCTGGAGAGTGCGTTCTGGGAGGACGTCATATGACGCCCTCCCAGAACTGGCCGGCCGCAGTGTAGCCGTCATTCGGCTATCTGCGGTTGGAAAGTAGTTAAAAAACGTGGCCAGGTGGGGCTCCACCCTCCTGGCCACTTCTTTCATTCACAGAGTTAATTAGCAGCTGTCAGCTTGTGGTTCTCAATAAACTACCATGACTCTGTGGAGCACCGTGGTAGTTCACCGATTTATCCTGTTAGTAGTATATCTGCTTGCTTGTACATCCCGTACGGGCACACAGACACACTGACAGGTCTGCAGGAGATTGCTGATGCAATGCTTTAGAGTGGTGGTCTCCAAACTGCGGCCCGGGGGCCGGATGTGGCCCTTTGCTTGCTTTTTTTCCGGCCCTTGGGGTACTATTCCTTCTACTGACACCAACAATGAAGCACTATTCCTCCCACTGACACCTATGATAGGGCACTATTACTCCCATTGACACAACCAACAGAAGCATAATTCCTTCCACTGACACCAACAATGGGGCACTATTCCTTTACTGACACCAACAATGGGGCACTATTCCTCCTACTGACACCAACAATGGGGCACTATTCCTCCTACTGACGCCAACAATGGGCACTATTCTTTCTACTGACACCAATGATGGGGCACTGTTCCTCCCACTGAAGCTGTGGCATTGTTTACTCCCTCTGGCCACAGTCTGGTCCCCCTAAAGCAGGGGTCTGCAACCTTTAAGACAAGAGCCACTTGGACCCATTTCCGAGAGGGAAAAAAAGACTGGGAGCCGCAAAACCATTGCAACATTTAAAACAAATCCGACACTGCATATATTGCAAAAAACGCTCTGGTCATGAAGGGGGTTTAAGGGCCCAGTAAGCAAAGGGTTAATCAGGGCCACAGTGTATCGTCATAATCACAATCATAGCCTTAGGTCTGTGGTGGGCAACCTTTTTTTTTTCGACTGAGCCAAATCTCGCCAAAACCACGATTGAAATTTTATTTTGAGAGAAACATTTTTAAAACTGAAAATACATCCCCCATATAGTAATTCATCCCCCATATAGTAATTTATCCCCCATATAGTAATTCATCCCCCATAGTAATTCATCCCCCCTATAGTAATTCATCCCCCATATAGTAATTCATCCCCCATATAGTAATTCATCCCCCATAGTAATTCATCCCCCATAGTAATTCATCCCCCATATAGTAATTCATCCCTCATATAGTAATTCATCCCCCATAGTAATTCATCCCCCCTATAGTAATTCATCCCCCATATAGTAATTCATCCCCCATATAGTAATTCATCCCCCATAGTAATTCATCCCCCCTATAGTAATTCATCCCCCATATAGTAATTCATCCCCCGTAGTAATTCATCCCCCCTATAGTAATTCATCCCCCCTATAGTAATTCATCCCCCCTATAGTAATTCATCCCCCATATAGTAATTCATCCCCCTATAGTAATTCATCCCCCCTATAGTAATTCATCCCCCATAGTAATTCATCCCATATAGTAATTCATCCCCCATATAGTAATTCATCCCCCCTATAGTAATTCATCCCCCCTATAGTAATTCATCCCCCATATAGTAATTCATCCCCCCTGTAGTAATTCATCCCCCGTAGTAATTCATCCCCCCTATAGTAATTCATCCCCCCTATAGTAATTCATCCCCCATATAGTAATTCATCCCCCCATATAGTAATTCATCCCCCCTGTAGTAATTCATGCCCCGTAGTAATTCATCCCCCATATAGTAATTCATCCCCCCTATAGTAATTCATCCCCCATAGTAATTCATTCCCCATATTGTGTGAATTCACTTACCTTTGCTCCGCGCGTTCCTCTCGCTGGGTTCCCGCGCCGTTCTGGTCTTCAGGGCGGACTGTGAGAGGAGAGGAGTTCGTCACGCTGCCCCGCCTACATCCGGGCTGCCCCGCCTACATCCTGACAGCCAATGTTTGCCAGCGGGCGCCCGGCACACAGAAGATCTACATTAAAAGAGCCGCGGCTTGCCGACCCTATTGCCTGTCACCTGGTGGGCAGTGTGCTCCGGAGCCGCAGGAAAGGTGAAAAAGAGCCGCATGCGGCTCCGGAGCCGCGGGTTGCCGACACCCGCCCTAAAGTCTGAAGGACAGTAAACTGGCACCTTGTTTAGAAAGTTTGAAGACGCCTGCTTTAGAGGCTCCAGCAACAAAAATATAAAAAATGCACGTTTTTTACCAGCAAAAATGTGTTCATTTATTGTTTTTTGTAAAAAGGTGAACTTATTTCTTTAACCAACATTTTTCTGTGCGTAATTTGAAAAAGTGAAAGTTGGGAGGTATGGGTTCAGCACTTCTGTACTTACTAAAGCCCAATTCTGGGCACAAAATAATATACCCTTGCAGTGGGGGCCTCCGCATTTCAAGGGTTAAAGCTGAATTTTAGCCTTATGGCTTTATTGACCTAACCTACCAGTATTAAAATTATGTCCCACATGCAGGCAGCTGGATTCTGGAGAAGTCTTCATGGCAAGGATGCCCAATCTTCTTCCTGTGTCTGAACTTCTAGCATGCATGGGGTTCATAGTTTTGAGTTTCAGGACTGAATTCAATATGTGAGGGCCTGGTCACACCACATGTAGTCCAGTGCGTTTTTGTTTTGCATCAAAAATGCATGGATAGTAGGTAATATAAATGCATAAACAGTAAGAGTGAGCGCTAAGTTATAAGAGCAGCTATTGAACTAAGGTAAAAACCAAAACTCCTTCAGGTAAAAAATGTACAAAGAAAGTGCAGCGTTAAAATTATTGGTAAGACAAATTTGCGTATAAATATGTTAGTAAACCATAAAATGTAAACAAATAAAAATAAATAATATTAATAAAAGTTCATAGATTCTCCAGCAAAAACGCACTGTAATTATACCTGCTTTTATGTCATAAAATATTGAAAAATCAATCAATGAATAAGCACACTTCATCCAAAATGATCTGATGACACTATTATTCCCAGTATACTTGATATGTTCAGGTGGTTGTGCAAGAAATAGATAAAATGCGCACTCACCAGATGTGCATATAATTAACGTGTTTGTATTATATATAGGTGGTCTGTCAGGTTTCCCTTCTTAGGGTTGGTCTGAATACAGCCTGGGGGTAATTATTTGGGGGTATTTATTGTTATAAAGTAGGTAATATTGTTTCCAATGGCATAGTTCACACCAGTGCGGTTAGTTCCAGTGCATTCTAGTTCCAGAAAAAAAAAAGTAGAACATGCTGCATTTTTTTCTGCCATGAACAGTACTGGAATGAAGAAAAATGCGGCGGAACGCACATGCCCTTATTTAACCATTTGCCTACCGGGCACTTATACCCCCTTCCTGCCCAGGCCAATTTTCAGCTTTCAGCGCTGTCGCAATTTGAATGACAATTGCGTGGTCATGCAACACTGTACCCATATGAAATTTTTATAATTTTTTTTCACACAAATAGATATTTCTTTTGGTGGTATTTACTTTCCGCTGTTTTATTTTTCGTGCTATAAACAAAAAAAGAGCAAAAAATTTAAAAAAAACAAAGTTTTTCTTTGTTTCTATTATAAAATTTTGCAAACAGGTAATTTTTCTCCTTCACTGGTGTTCATTGATGAGGCTGCACTGATGGGTACTGATGAGGTGGCACGGATAGGAGGCATTGATAGGTGGCACTGATGGGTGGCACTGCTGGGGAACAGGTGGGTGGCACTGATGGGCACAGGTAGGTGGCACTGCTAAGCACATGTGGGTGGTACTGCTAGGCACAGGTGGGTGGCACTGATGGGTACAGGTGGGCGGCACTGATGGGTACAAGTGGGCGGCACTGCTGGGTACAGGTGGGCGGCACTGATGGGTACAGGTGGGCGGCACTGCTGGGCACTGATCATCAGTGCCCTGATGATCGGTGCCGATTTGTCCTCTAACAAATGCCGGTTATCAGCAGTACTTTCCTCACGCTGTGACTGCATTTACCTGTGATCTGCTGAGTCATTCGAAAAAATTAAAAAAGAAGGATGTCATGGCCGGTCATGACTTCCTTCTTTTATAATTTTTTGTTTCAGGTTTATTCTTTTGGTATTGTCTCATCTTGTGGTGATGGCTAACTGTGGTCTTTACCTAAATGTCTAAATATGTGCAAAATTTGCAATAAAGCATACTTTTTTGATACATTTTTGGGTATCGCTTTTTTGTCCATAATGTAACCGCTTTTTCTTGTGAATTTCTTTTCACATCCTCCTTGTTTTGCTGTCTGTTTTTGGTTACTTGGCAGATATATGTCCAGTGATAGTGATAAATATATATGGCCTCATGCTCCCTTGTTATTCTGGTTGAACACACAGGCTAACATGGATGGGAGAGAAAATAAAAGCTCAAACTCCCGGAAAAGCAGTGTTTTTGAGCTCAAGTGTGCATGAAACATTACCAAGTGAGGGAGGAGACATAAAATACTTTATAACTGATGAGAACAGCGGAGAGATCTCACAATCACAGATTCAGAGTATGAACTTATAGACAACAGCATTAACAGCTGCCTTTGATTAAGAGGATAAAGAGTTCCCTGTGAAGAGTCAGGCATGCTGTGTCACCAAGCATTATCCACTTGCCCTCCAGAGGATTTACTCCCCCTTCTTGACCAGGCCATTTTTCACAATACGACCCTGCATTACTTTAACTGACAATTGCGTGGTCATGCAGCGCTGCACCCAAATTAAATATATGTCCTTTTTTTCCTACAAATGGAGCTTTCTTTTGGTGGTATTGATCGCCTCTGTGTTTTTTATTTTTTGCGCTATGAACAAAAAAAAAATACCGAAGATTGAAAAAAAAATAATAATTTTTTTGACTTTTTGCTATTAAACATCCATTAACAAAAATTTAAAAAATCTAATTTCGACATAAATTTAGGCCAAAATGTATTCTGCTACATGTCTTTGCTAAAACAAAAAATCCCAATATGTGTAAATTAATTGGGTTACTTGAAAGTTTTAGCGTTTACAAATGGCGGTATATATACTGAAACTTGTATTTATTTATACTAGTATTGGCGGCGATCAGCAACTTATAGCGGGACTGCGACAGGCATTCTGACACTGGGAGGGAACTGTCACTGACATCTCCAGTGACACTAATACAGTGATCAGTGCTAATAAAAAGCACTGAAACTGTTCTAATGACACTGGGCAGGAAGGGGTTAACATCCGTGGCGATCAAAGGGTTAACTGTGTGTGTTTTGCTGTGCTGGCTTTACTGTGTAAGCACGCTGCTTTGTATTGCTCTGCTATGCAGGAGTCAGGTTAGTGCCTATTGGGGGTGTCAGGGGAACCCCCATCCATAGGCCAGAAGTGGGCCTTACAGAAGGATGCTAGGTCTAAAGGCTAGAGAGCCAAGTATCCAGGAGAGGTACTGCAATTGAAGTGAGCTTTTGAGCCAGGAATCTTAGCATTTTCTAGTTTATAGATTTCTGTTCAAGTTGGAGAAGATCCCTGTGTGGAAAAACATTTGTTTGTGAACTGTTGCTTTTTATTTAAATAAAAGTTGGCTACAAGCCCTTAAAAATAGTTCCTGTCTGCCGTGGACAGTCTGAAATAACACATCTATCACGAGAGTTAACTACTCCATGTCACAATTGCCACAAATTAACCAAGATCACATTCATTAACATAACCAATCAAATCATAATGAGATTTTTTCATTATAGTGACAATTCTCTGTGACGGCCAAGAAGTGAACTCCAACCTCAGAAACGTATACACCCCAGAATAATATTTGTATTGACAAGGCATTCATTAACTTAACTACTTGGCAATTGCGCAATAGCCAAATGAAGGCTACAGCATGGTTGTCCAGTTTTGGGAGGGTGTCATATGATGTCCTCCTGCGCACCCCCAGTAGCACACACCCAGCTGATCACGTGATGTTGTAAAAGGCCAATCACAACGGTCTTTTACCACATCATCAGCTGTGTCCAATGACACAGCAGATCACTGGGTAAATGCAGTTACTGGTTATTGGCTGTCACAGCGCGAGGAAAGTACTGCCGATAACTGGCAATTGTCAGAGAACAGATCAGCACTGATCATCAGGGCACTGTTGATCAGTGCCACCCATCAGTGCCGCCAGTCAGTATTATTTCAGTGTGCCACTTTTCAAACATCTTTTTTAAAACACACCATAGCTTGTGGTACAATGCAACCAAATTGAAAATGCTTTCCTCAAAGACTTGTCCACACAAAGCAGGGAAGAGGGCAGTCAGCAAATATGCGTAATGAGGGATGTTTGGCACTTAAATGGAAAGATAAACTGAATGTCCTTTCATCTATCCAACCAGATACCTCTGTGCACACTAAGGAGACTGCTGCACAATCTACATATGGGAGTTGTAGATTCAAACATCCAGATGATGAAGACCTACTTGGCCATGCAAAGATCAGGGTACTGGTACATCTACTTATTTCGATTGGCCATCTACAGTACAATTTGTGTATCTCACTTATAAACTTGCATTGAGACCAGGCTCCCTCCTAAAATATCAAACAATAGCAGTCCATATTCCAGCCTATCTAGGGCTATTGTTTCAAGTGCTGCTGACGACAGCCAGTGCCTGTGTTTTCAGTTAAACAAACTCCATCGAAAATCTATTTTTTTTTTTTTTTTGCCACCTCTAAAAAAATTCAAGCAGTAAGGCAACTTATTGCAGAAGAGACATGCAATAAAGTAAACCTACCTGCTTGTTGCAGTCTTCCTTAGAATGTACACTGTGCTCTTCACGCGCATCCTGGGTTAGATTCTGGCACAAATCCTGAGTGATGTCATCCTGTGTCAGCCCATGAACATAACCACATCCCGGGACTCGAAAGAAGCCGCCTGAAAGATGCTGACACCAGCAAGAGGCCTAGGACCATTGAACAAGAGGTAAGCATTGCAGACATTAGTTCTCTTTTGGGGTATGAAAATGGGGATTAAGATATATATTTTTTACCCATCAATCATATCAAGGAAGGTGGGATGCTTTTATGTTGTAGTTGGGCTTTAAGCATTCATAATTACACACATTAAGGCATTATTAACACTAGGGCATTGAGAGCACCTCTATGCATCTTGCAACCCAAAACACATTGTACAGCAATTTATGTAACACTTTATATATAAAATATTCAGTACAGGGGTGGACTGACAACTCATGGGGGCAATAAGGGATCATGGGGCCCCTGTGTCCTTGCCCAAACTCAAAAAATCCTATGAAAAAGGTACCAGGGGCATCCCATGGGGCCCCCTACTGACCCCAGGCCCTCGGGTAGTGCCCGAGTTTCCAAATGGTCAGTCCTCCCCTGATACAGTATATTCACATCAGTCCTTATTCTCAAAGAGTTTATAATCTAAGGTCCTTAACTCACATTCATACACACTAGGGCCAATTAGACAGGAGCCAATTAACCTACCAGCATGTAAGAGGAAACCAGAGTACCTAGATGAAACCCATGCAAGCACAGGGAGAACATGCGAAATCCAGGCAGGCGCTGTAGTTGGGATTCAAACCAATGACACTACTGCTGCAAGGCAGAAGTACAAACCACTTAGTCATTGTACTGCATTTTGTTGCACATTTTTCATGCATATGGCAGCCAGTTGAAATTATTAAGCTGCCCTATGTGAGACACACAGGAACGCATGGAAACTCATAAAAAGCGTGCACACTCAGTCGCACCATTCAGTGTGAACAAAGTCTCAGCCTGGGTTCACACACTGATGTGGTGCGGAATTTGCAGCGTTTTCTGTGCAAATTCTGCACCGCATCAGAATCTCACCCTGTTCATTCGAACTGCTGCGGGTGTGTATGTTAAGTTAACAACTCACTGAAAGTGGTCCACAAAATGCAGTGTGATGTGCAGAATCAGATCATGTAGGTGTGAATACCCATGCGATCCGATTCTAGTGCGGACCCAAAAAAGGGTCCTGCACGTTTTCGGTGCGGTGCTATTAGACCCATGCAAAATGTATGGATCCAATCGCCCCACACACAAATCGCATTTATGATCCGCACAAGAATGCGGTGCTGTTCCTGTGCGAATCACATGCGATTTACCGCACCGCATATATGTGAACACAGGCTTAATCTACTTTCTTTTTGGACCCATATTTTTTTACTCAGAGACCCATAGAGCCAGCGTCTAACATACACAGCTTTTGATACAGTGTTGTTTATTTTTTGTGATACACAAGATACATTGTTGTAATCATTCCAAACATTGAAAGTCTCACATGTTGATTCACCATACTCTGGGGAAGAAACAATGTGTTTTGGGGTGTAAATCTATGTATACTTATGCTGTAAGAAATGTAAAGCAGAGCTCCACCTGTCTGCCTCTTCCCCCCTCCACTGCCACATTTGACACTTTTTTTTTTTTCTGGGGGGGGGGGGGGGGGGCGGGTACCTGGTAAAACCGCACATTGTTAGCCCACAGTTGAGATGCTGGCACCAGTGGAAGAAGAGGGAGAGAAGGAACGGCGTGGATGAGCACATTGCTGGATCCTGGGACAGGTAAGTGTGTGTCTATTAAGAACCAGCAGCTACAGTTTTTGTAGCTGCTGACTTTTAACCATTAGCCACCCGGCCTATAGCCGTTTGGCGGCCACAAAAATGCATTACCTTTCCGGGGTGTACGCCATTTGGCGTCCTCCCGCACATGCACAGTTTGCGCGGTTGCAGAGCCGCACAGCGGCACGATCTGTCACCGGCCGTGTACCTATCGGACACAGCCGATGACAGATCTGAGTACCGGCCCCTGTTGCCGGTACCATGTGACCTGCTGTGACCAATCACAGCAGGTCACATGACAGTTCTATACAATGGATGGCTTCATTCATGCCATCCATAGTATACTAGTGTCTAGCTGTGAATGGTCACAGTAGGTCACATGCACATGTCATGTGATTAGCTGTGGCCAAATCACAGCTAAGCACAAAAAAAAAACCAAAAAAAAAAAAAACCCTGAATGCATCGATGTCATTGAGGTAAATGCTTGCTTATAGCAAAGTAGTTCTTTGCTATAAGCAAATTGTGTAAAAAAAAAAAAAAAAATACTGATCACTTCCCCAAAGTAGTACAATGTTACTATGGTAACATTGTACTACTTTGGTCATAGTGAAATATGAAAACAAAATCTTAAAAAAAATATATATATATATATATATATTTTTTTTTTTTTTCATACTGTCACCGGTCAGTGTCCCTGTTCACTGCCATGCCAGTTATATGATGATGCTGTACTGCACTGGTGACAGTATGTAAAAAAAAAAAATAGTGAAAATAATTTTTTTCATTTTCCGAAAAATTATGACAAAAAAATACAACTTCAAAAAACTCGCCATGCCTCTTATGAAGTACGTCGGACTGTCTACTCTGCTAAAAGGGGTCATTTGGGGATATCTGTACTGTTCTGACATTCTTGGACCTCATGAAATTAGATTGGCTGTCAGTACTTCAGGATTGATCAATTTTCAGATCTATACCATAGTTTGTGAACTTTCCTACAAACTAAATAATACATCCTAATTTGGGTTATTTTCACCAAAGACATGTAGCAGAATACATCTTGGCCTAAATTTATGAAGACAGACTGGCCACATATCCCCATAGCGCCTGGGTTTTAATGCCAAGCAGCTGCATATATGCATCTATATGTAAACCGTTTAGGATCCTTTCACACGGGTGTTCCATTTTTTTCATCAGTTTGGTCACTTTTTTTCAAAAGCAAAAAAAAAAAAGTATCTGTTTACATCAGTTTTTCATTAGTTTACATCAAATTTTTTTCATCAGTTTCTCCTCATTTTCTCGTCAGTTTCTCCTCAGTTTTTTACATCCTTTACCAATGCAAAAATGGACTGTATGTCCGTTTACATCTGTTTTTTCTGTTCTGGGTTTTTTTACGTTAGAAAAATTGGTTTTTCTTACATTAAAAAAAAACGTATGTTAAACACTTTGCAGTGTTATTTTAACGGCTAGCCTACCGGCACTTATACCCCCTTCCTGCCCAGGCCAATTTCCAGCTTTCAGCGCTGTCACACTTTGAATGACAATTGCGTGGTCATGCAACACTGTACCCATATGAATTTTTTATCATTTTTTTGTGACAGAGATTTATTTTGGTGGTATTTAATCAACTCTGGGTTGTTTTTTTTTCTTAAACCAAAAACCACTGAAAATTTGAAAGTTTTTTTTCTTAGTTTTTGCTATAAAATTTTGTAAATAAGTGATTTTTCTCCTTCACTGATATGCGCTAATGAGGCTGCAGTGATGGGCACTGATAGGCTGCACTGAGGAGGCACTGGTAGGTGGCACTGATGGGCATTAACAGGCATCACTGATAGGCGGCACTGGCTGGCACTGATAGGCGGCACTGACTGGCACTGATGGGTGACACTGAAAGGCAGATCAGATGGGCACTGATATGTGGCATTGATGTGCACTGGTAGGCACGGATATGTAGCACTGACACAAGGCACTGATGGACACTGACAGGTGGTGTTGCTCGGGCTAAACTGATCATCAGGGCACACTGATCATCAGTGCCCTGATGATCAGTGTACATGTTTCCTCCACGGAAAGCCGATTACCGGCTCTCCTCTCCTCTCGAGCTGTCAGCGTGACAGCTCGAGAGGAGAGAAATGATGATAACCAGCATTTCCCTATTTACATGTGATCAGCTGTGATTGGACACAGCTGATCACATGACCGAGCCGACGTCTTTGGCTCTTTCTGTGATAGGTGATCCTCTGTGTCCGAGGGACAATCGCCGCGCTGTGCGCTCCCTGAGCCGCGCATGCGTGGTGAGAGCGGGAGGACTTCATATGACATCCTCCCAGAACGAGAGAACCACCTTGCACTCATCATATTACTATATGGCGGGCAGGAGGTGATTAAAGACATTGTACACTTTCAAACGTTTTGGCTGTTTTAACTAGTGTAGTTGTATTCCCTGTTACTTTTGTTTGTCTTACCTAGTAATGATAGGCTCGCATGTTGTGGCTGCAGTTTGTAGTGTCATGGCTGATCACTTTCCCTATGTCCATGTATTCACCTTGTCCTTAGGGGAAACTTGTTGTTCCGGATCACATAGCAACAAGTGCATGCCTTGCCATTTCTTTTGCGTTGCATCGCAAATGTGGGAGCGCTAATGTGATGAAACACATCTCTTCTTGTGTCTGTATCATATCCAATTACTATTTATCTCTCACCTGAATAGAACTGACTGAGAGACCCAGAGCTTGTGGAAAATATTGTTTCTTTCAAGAAAGGGTCAATTCACTAAAGAATGAGGTTATGCATTATCCTGTACAGGGCCAAGTGTCATGTTTGAACACAAACAGAAACTTCTGACCCTGGAATGTGAGGATTTACTGTACTATAGAAAGTTTGTGAAGAGCAACAAATGACACCATGAAACTATATGATCAATGCATCTCTTATGCAGATGAAAAACTAAGGTGCAAGTAGGAAGGTTTATGCCTCTAAGCTGTCAGATGCAATTCTGAAAGTAAAATCGGAGTTTGCTGTGCTAAAACGAAAAGCTCTAGCTATAGATTGTGGATTTCTCACTATCCGCTGTTCCTCTGCCAGCTTAGAAAGTCCATGGGGCCTGCAATAATTTTTGCCAGTAGCCACACGAGGCTGATATATGTTCCTTCAACTGTCAGAAAAGTGTAGTGATCGGGGACACATACAAAGAATTCTCATGCAATAAGGACCATGGGCAAGAGGAAGTCCCTTCCCTGAAGTTCACAATCTCTAAGAAACTAATAAAATAGAGAGGAAGTAAATAAACAGTATATTACACAACATATTGAATGCAGATAAGGGGGAAGTAAGAAGTTCTATAAATTGGTAGCAATGTGCAGTAAAGTTAGAACTCTAAAAGGATGACCTTGCTAGAAATTCCAGCATCAAATCATTATGGCATGAAGGATTCATGATTGCATGAATAACCTAGTGTAGCCAGTAAAGCATTTACTAGGTAAAACATGGTTATTGATACCGTTCTCTATATTTCTTCTCCTAAATTGTATCTTAACGGTTAACCCACCAAAAAAATGCAGCTTACCAGTCCTTGATTGTGGTGGCTTTATTTTTTTACTTTTTTTTTTCACTTAGTGATCCTACCAGTGATACACTTCCTGTCCTAGTCTGACAACACTCACCGTACTGTATTTATGAAGAAGCAGCATTGTCCCCATATGTGGGAACTTTTCAAAGGTTAGGGCGCGTTAAGGGGTTGGGCAATGGGACAAGCAAATAGAGACGTGTGCAATGGACAGCAATGGCTTACTAATGGCTCATGTAGTGTGCTATGACCAAATATAGAGCTAACAGCGCTGTGGTTTGATAGTGACACGCCTACAGTAGATTACATAATTTAGCAATATGGTCCGCTAAACAGTACTGAAATGACAATACCAAGTTGGGGGGCCCTACATTGAGCTAAGGGCTCTGGAGGGGGCTGAGGGACTTGGCATGGGGCTGTGGAGCATTATGGGAGACTGGGGGGCACTGAGAGGTGCTGGGGTGCTGTAGTGGATTTGTAGGAGGCATTGTGGATTGCTAGGAGCTCTGTAAGGGGCTAAAGGTAACTGTGGCAGGTGTGGGCTGGGGGCTTTCGAGCAGGGGACCACAGAAGGAAAACTGCACTGTAGAGGGCTAGGACAGTGTGTAGCAGAGATTCAAAGAACCAGCAAACACAAATGCTCCTGCGCTTGGGGATGGACTCGATGCAGTCTACAACCACATTAAGAATGTCCTGGAACATGCACACCTTGCTGCCCTCAAATAGACCGGGGGAATCCAAATATACTGAAGGAGGAAAGAAAAAACAGAGGGCGCACAGGCCTAGTGCATTACCATAAAAAATGTTTAATAAAAAATAAAGTATGTGTTGTCCTCACAAACGACAATATAGTCAAGGCACATCATAAAGAACAGCTGGTCAACACCGCGCTGAGTGACAGTCCGCAATAGGGAGTTTAGACATCCAAAAGGCTGACGCGTTTCGAGGACTTGCCTCTTCCTCAGAGCCACTTTATTTTTTATTAAACATTTTTTATGGTAATGCACTAGGCCTGTGCGCCCTGTTTTTTTCTTTCCTCATGTAGCAGAGATTCCCCTTCCCCCTTTCTTTCTTAAACCGGCCATAGATGGTCCAAATCTTGGCTATCTATGGGCAGGCTGATTGTATCCAATTCGATTGTTGTATGACTTGGGTGCAAACCAGACTGTCAGATTTTTAATGTGATTATTGCCACTATATTGTGGCCAATAGCCACTGGCAATAATCACTATGTTCTCCTAGCAGGGATGGCTCCTCGTTCCCCCCCCCCCCCCTCTTCCCCCAGTCCTATTGTCTATGGCTGGTCTTACTTATAGACCAGATAAGCATGCCTGGGTAGTGATATTTGCCCTTCTTGCTCTCTCTTGCTATATCTGTAAGAGATAAGTCACATGGCAGGGGGGAAGGAAGAATGAGATTTCACTCCCCTGCAGGCTCAAATCTCATAGTAGGTCTGTATCTTGCTCTGCATCAAGGATAACAATGATTTCCAATGATGGCTCTAGCAGATTCCAGGGTTGAAAGGCAGAACAAATCATAAGGAAACCCTCAACGGCCTGAGACCTGACAGGAAAACTAGTCAGCCAGAGTCTCTGAGCCAAATCTGAAATGTTCCAAGCTATATTACCATTCTAGGACAGGACTACAGAATACCTTCCACTCCGTCTTCACCATAACATAGAGATAAGGTGTTTTGCAGTCCATGTTTTTTTTGTTTGTTTTAGACAGACTGAGGAACAGTTAAACCTCTGTTAGGTTTAGGTAATGTCCCATTTGAGGATATTTTCCCCTCGCCTGTTCTATCTGATGCCATTACCAGCACAGCAAGTGAAAGGAAATCTATTCTCAGGGGACACAGAGAGGAAAAATTGAAATTCTAATCCTTCCCTGTACTGTACCTTTGAAAAAGTTTGTTTCATTGCTTGCCTGTGTCTCTTTTGGGAAGATATTGCAGCGCTTCCTGTTCTGGTACTTATTAATTAGACCGGAAACTAGGACAAAGGACATGGACAGAAGAAAAAAAATGACAGACTCTGACACTCTACCCTTTGACAAAAGTATCAGTTAGGATAGGTGAGATTGGGAGGCAAATTATATATTCCTATCTCCAATCCATATTGGTGACCTTTGGAGTGTAGTGGGACTTTTATCGTAAAACTAATTAAAAACACACAAACGCAAACCCTACATTTTTATTCAAATCCTAATAAACGTTGGGTCATTTTTTTTCTCCTAGTGTCTTGATGCGTGGGAATTCATACCCCCATTTCTCTTCAATTATATGTACATGCCATAGTAATGGAGTAATAAAATATATTAAATAGCAGGCTCCCCAAACTCCCTATGAGCGGCTTTGAGGTGGATGATAGGTGTTTGCCAAGCGTTAAAACCGCACCACAAACTCCTATAATGAAGTTAAATGGTATTAACACTCCACAACCGCCTCGCAAACGCCTACCAGGCGTTTGAGGAGTGGCACCATAGACTTGAATGGGAGGCTTCAACTCCTCCTGACCTGACAAGAGGAGTCAGTTTTGCCGCAACACTAACACTTCAGTGTTAACAGCACTGTGTGCTGCCATATGCAGAATTTTCATAGGCGTTTGAGAAGCATTAAAAATGCTTCCCAAACGCCTGTCTGATGCCTGCTGACAAAGCTAGTGTGAACTGAGCCTTAAGGCAGCAGTAAAAATGCCCTGTGTGCCTGAGGCCTTAAAATCACTTTTAATTAACAGTTGTGTTCATCCTATATTAAACATATCTTAAACACTAAAGTGTGCTCAAAAATGAATTTCCAAATAACATAGTGAGGCTATCATCAGATATATAGCTACATCTAAATCATTTGGAAAGCATTTAATCTAGCATTCTCCATAGAGCTAAACAACTGAAGGACAGACATAGCTTTGTTTTCCCTTTACAACTTGGTGATACAGACAGTTTAACAGAACTATTTTGGTCCCACAAAAAAATCACACAGATGGACTCATCTCAAAATCTTCAAGCTTGTGACTTAATTTAAGTAGCTATTTTTTCTTATTATAAAAGTACAATAAGTCCATTCACAGCTAGGAACTTGTTGTGCCTCTACTTCAAAGTTTATAATTCTGTTCTAGATTTTGCTTTCATTGAAAATGATAAGTATGACATTAAATACATTTTTTTTTGTTGGGGGTGGATATAATAACTGTGGACTAATTTATCTGCATGAATTTGAAAGAACTGATTTCTTACAGTACTATAATGTACTGTATATAGTTGCCACGCATGTGATCTTACATTTAATGCATTCAAAAGTCAACTTTATATTTCAGTTTTCAACAAGATACTTTTCTAAAACTGGCACAAATGTTATATGTGGATTCCTGACTTGACTTGCCACACAGCAGTGTGTCCCTTGCTAAAGACACTGTGGAGGAGATTTACTAAAACTGGTGCACGCAGAATTTGTTGCACCAGTGCATAGTAACCAATCGGCATCTACCTTCAAGCAGAACTCCAGTCTGAAAATCTGAATATAAAAAAGTCAGCAGCTACAAAAACAGTAGCTGCTGACTTCTAAAAAAAACCAGCCACTTGCCTATCCTATGATCCAGCAGTGTGTTCATACTAGTTGGGTTCACCAGCCATACTTTTTTCCCCGGCACCGGCATCTTAAGTGTGGCCACCTGGCTGTACCAGCTTGTGGCTTCA